AAAAAAAATTACGGGCCCCTAATTAATTTTGCACCCCGGGCCAAAAATAACCAGTCCGCCCCTGTATAGTACTCGAGTAAAACTAAATAATATGCTATAAACTATAAATGTTAATCAAAATATAGGTATTGCTAAATTTATAAAAAAAAGGAAATGATTATTTTTAATTTTTATTTTTAAAGAAGACATTTCTGAATTGATTGTAACAAATACAAATTTGTACAGTTCTCAAAACTTTGAAAATCCAATTACGACAAATGTTGATGAAATAAGAAACTACATTGGAATAGAGCTACTTATGAGTATTGTGTCCATGCCCGCTTACACTGACTTTTGGTCTACTAATCTAAGATACGAACCAATAGCTAATGTCCTAATGYCATTAAAAAGATATCAACTATTGCGAAGACAACTGCAATTTATACGCGAAATCAATTTTTGAAGAAAAAAAACGATTTTAGATATTCATGTAACTCTAAACCACTTTAACGTAGAAACATGAAATTTTAACTGAATGTTAATAATGGAATTTTCTATACATAATACAATTTTCAAAATATTTCAAATCTTTTTAAGTGATTTATAGACATTTGAAATTTTCAACATTTTTAGTTTTTTTTTTTTTTATAAATTACGATAAAATTTTATTCGTTGATTAAAACAACATCAAAATTTAATACAAGGCTTGAAATAAATTATCACTATAGTAGTTAAAAAATACTAAAAATACATAGTCACAATTTTTATTAAAAAGCATTGAAAGTTCGAATTTTGTCAAAATACGAACATTTCATTCGATAAAAATCTCTATTCTATAATGAATATTTATTTATTAGTTTTAAATTGCATATTTTTACATTTTTATGTAAGACTGTTTTAATTTTTTTTGCATTTTTAAGAGTTCTGAAATTTTAGTCATAACGTTTAAAATAGTCGTATTTTAGAAATGCTGTAAATAATTTAAATTAGAAAAATAACTAAAAATTAACAAGCCTAAAAAATGTAAAGCCAATTTTAACACAACCTGACCACAAACAAATATATATAAAAACTTATTCAGAAGCAAAAAAACGTAAAAAGAAATTGAAACAACCTACTTTAAAAAACGTATAAAAGTATTAAAAACTTTTAAAAATAGTAAATCATTGATAAACGCAAAACAACTATAAAATCGAAAAAATTAGGAGCCTAAATAACGTAAAAAAAAGGTTTTAAATACAAACTGACTAAAATATCAAAAAAACGATATTTAAAAATTTTTTAAAACAACTTAAATATATTAAAAACTTTGACTGAACTTAAAAAAGATTTAGGAACTCAATAAGAAAAACAAAAAAACTTTAACCTTACTTAAAAGAGATGTTTAAAATTAAAATTGAGTAACCCATCACGACAATTATTTTAAACGTTTTGACTAAAATTTCAGAAGCCTTAAAAAAACGTAAAAAATAATTAAAAACTGCCTTAATTAATAAAGTAAAAAAAGTAATTTAAATTAACAAATAAAGATTCATTATAGAATAGAGATTTTTATTGAATGAAGATTGTTTTATCTAATAAAGTTTCTTTATTGAATATAGTCTTTTTATCAAAATTATGTATTTTTAATGAATATGGATTMTTTATCGAATAAATATGTTTTTAATTAAATAAAGATTTTTAAAATTATTTTCAAATAACGATTCATTTTAAATATAATTTTAAATTTTGTATGGAATATAGTTTTTTTTTTATAAAACTCCAGTCCCAAAATATTGGCATAGGTTTGGTGTAAATTTTCCGAAGTCGAGGGGCCAACTTCACAGATATTGTGTACTGCCCTCTTGTTAATAAATCGTATAAATACTTCTAATGCGAATAAAAAAAAGCACTGTTGCATGAAAAATCTTAATTCAACTTTAAATAGGCCAAATTGAATAAAATATCTAATTTTTCCTTTATTAGATTTTTTATTCAAATAGGCTTTTTCTTCAATTTCCATTTTCAATCAATTTATATTTTTTTATTCAAATAAGATTTACTAATCAAATTTACTTATTCATATTTATTAATATTTTTTTAAATTTATTTGCTTAAAAGTATTTTAAGAAGTTGTTTATTTTTCTTTCTTACTTGAATCCAATAAATGTGGATTTAGGGGCACCTAGTCACGAATATTTATTGTTTAAGCTAATGAGTACCATGTTTATAAAAATAAGGAATGTGCCATTACCAGAAAGAATATACTTTGAAAGAAGTATTGAACAAAAACCTTCTATTCCAATGAAAATATCAAAAATAATTTTATTTAACATTCTTTTATAGTTTTTAGATTACCTATTTGGGCTATTTGTGTATATTAAATATATTAACTTATAAGTTAAGTAAAAATGAAAAATATATAATTGAAATGGATTATTTGTTTCAATCAAAACCTTTTTAAAGGATAAATTTAATAATTCTTAAGTATAGATGACACAGTTCTATATAGTATGTATTTATTTTACATTAATTTATTCATTAAATAAATATAACAAAACTAAATAATTAACGAAACAGCCTTAAGATTTAAATTACACACATTTCAAAAGTCAATAGTATGAATTAGCCGTGAAATCGATTCACACCTTCAGACCACACAACATACCGTAAATATATTAAATACCATAATACGTATTGTAATATTATTCGTCACAAGACCATTTCAGTGTATAATTCATCGCAGCGCTGTATCAATTTGGCGATGGGCTCGACGTTATATGGGAAAACGTGATTCTCGTGCAGCCGTAGCATCTTCAATCGGAGTCTGATCAGCAGCCCCATAGTWTTGTCCAAACCAGAGCCACAGCTTTCGAAAAAACACCGGGAATCTCGGCAGATAGTCTTCAGCACTCGAAGAACATACTGCAGGAAGTTACTCTCATCGGAAATGAGGTAGTCCAATAGCACATCCGGTTCGTACGATACACACTCTAGCAGCTCAGAGAAGCCGGCGAACGGGTCAAGTAAGGGCCAGGCAGAGGACACAGTATCCGTGAGGTCCAGCGCACATGTCAGACATTCGATGGTTGCGTCGTCCCGATCACACATCAAGCGGACTGTCCATCGGCAGAACCCAACATCAGTGTCGTAAAGCGTGCTGGCTTTGACATACGAGTCCAAACAGTCGACCACGTCTCTAATCCTCGTAGCTGCAGCTGCGTCTCTACCACTGTCGAAATCGGGAAGTTGATTGTTACCACAGACGAATGCATGCAATGACCGCATAGCCAGGAGGACCGTCTCCTGCAACAAAACCCTCGTACGGTTAGTTTCCAAATGAAAACTGCTCGCCATTTTTCCCATGAAGTACAACAGACGCCTACGGGYGAAGCCAATCAGCGCACGCCCGGCCACGGTCTTTCTTTTAGCCGTCCTCCTGTCATCCACCTGCTGATCTACGCACCTCTGAAGACTGGCACTGAACAGCCGGACTGTGTTCAGCCACATCAGTGGTTGTGTGTCCGTCTGGTACAACAGCCACTCCAGACGAGGCAGTTCCGAATAGAACTGATCGTGGTTCCGAAATGCCGAGCTGGCRTACCGGAATGCACGAAACACAGCGGTCCATAGCCCGACGATATCAACCAGATTGTTGTGGTCGGTGACCATCGTTGTTCTGTTTTTGTGCACTGTGGCGTTAACGACGTCCAACCATCGAGCATTCAATCGGTCCAACAATAGCGTCTTAATGTCAGAGTTATTCGTAACAGCGGTTAAACGGCCTACCTCATCACCATTGCGACAACAGAAAGTTCCCACAGTTAAGAACTGGCGGTTGTTGCCACTGAAATCTAGTACGCGCGTTAAAACGTTGACAGCAGCGGTACACGAACATCCTATCGTCGTGGTAATCGTTAGCAACAGCCCATCGATCAAGTGTACCAGAAAATGACCAGTAGAGCCGACACATCCCAGTGCTGCTTCGGTGGCCACGCACGTGGCCACATATCTAACGTAGTTGTCACCTGATGCGAACATGGCCAGCAGTCGGTCAAACCATGTCTTGCTGAACAGTGTCTCTAAACATACGCGCTCTACGGTGGGACAATAGTTCGAGTCCGCATCCGGCTGTAGCTGCCTACGATGGCGGCGCATGGATAACAGCAAACGCAACGCGCTCAAGTGTGCTATCGTGTCGGACGGCAACGTACCAAATTCCGTAGGAAACGCGATCAGCCACCTGTACTCAGCAGTGGTCAACCGACATACACACCCGTGTAACAAGTGCCATACGATCGTTTTTGATGATCTAGAAAAAAAATGGATCATAATTATACTACCAAGTAATACAAATTTATAATTTATAAAAGGGTATTTGTTTCAACCTTAAATTATATACAAATATATAAAAGAGATGCACAAGTATATTTATAACAAGATTTTTAACAAACTTAAACACTATAATTTATTTATTGGTCAATTTATAATTTAGCGCAATTTTGTAACTTAAAGTAAAAACTTAACATACCTACAAAACAATTTTGAAAAATTGAAATAAAGATTTCATTAAATATCGTYAGTTTAACAGAAATATGAATAAAAAATGAAAGGTCTACCTACCCAATTATTATTATTTTCTGATGTCTAGGTAAGTTCTAATATTTTTGGATTTTTTTCGGGACTTATCATACTAATGAATACAAGTACAATAATAAAAAACTAATAAACATTATTGTGATTGGCTTTGTAATTATCTAAAATCAAAATGGTATTTTTTTTTTAAAACCTTGGTTTTAATGTATTTATCTTACCTTACATTTTTGCTGAATTTATACATATTTCATAATTTTTCAATACATTATACAAATCTGAATCCAATCAATAACCATTTATGTTCTTGATAGACGTGTATATTAAGAATATCATTACATATATTTATATAAAAATACAGTAATTCTTAATACTGTATTATCGATAATTTAATAGCCATTATAWATGGTTCAATTGAACAATATATAATTTGCACCTTAAGTATAACACACATGATTTGAAAAGTTTTAATATAAATTAGTTTCCTCGATTTAGATAAAACTGTTTGATGCAAAATAAAAAACAAAATGCATAATTAAGGACTACCTACTACTATAATTACCTTAATGCAAAATATATAGGAGAAAATGTATTTTTAAATTTCAAAATGGATTATAAACCGAAAAATAATTACATTTCCAATATAGTAAATAGGTAAGTGGCTACTTATTTCTAAGATAATAAAAGCCAAAAGCATATTTATTTTCTGAATTTTTCAAAAATATGTAATATTTAATTATTGTGTTATTTGTTATTATTTATTATACCAATATTGTAAAAACATAAAAATATATGTTCATCATATAAAAGTAAACATATCTCTATTTAGCAACATAATTCTCTGCCAATCATTAATCTTAATATTTTATGATGTAGTGTATATACTATATATACATTGTTTACAAATAATGTAAATTAGGTACCTACTTGATAATCTTTGTATAATTATAGTTAGTAATTTTTCTTTATTGTTATTTAATGACATATGTTATACATATTGTCATCATCGACATAATGTTTATTTTTTTCGAGAATTCTTTAATAATATTTAAAATAGTTGACATCTATTAAACATAATGAAATCCGCATGGGTTCCAGACTAGGCCACTAGTATTAATAAAAAATGTTAATGAGTAATGACTTTTTATTACTAAATAAAAATCCATAGTTTGTATACAGAAATCGTATTAATTCATTTTACAAAATAAGAAAGTATTGCTTGTGCTTTACTCTATTGACATTATTAAAAATTGATTATCATAAAAATAAAGTAAAACAACATTGTGACAAAATTTAAGAAATTCTTAAATTATGTTAAAATATRAAGGTTATCATGAACATATAACATAGTTTATAATTATAATTCCTAGTAAATTTGTTGAAATTTTTTTTTTGTATATATCAATAATTTAATATTTGTATAGATGAGATTGCAATTTTTATTTCAAATCATATAATAATCTAAAGAAAGATAAATTATTTCATACAAAAAATAGGTTCTTTTTAATTGAAAAATTAAATCACTTCCATCGTTAGTTCTCGATGTATTTCGTCTTGACAATACATTTTTTACCCGTAACTTGATAATTTAAATATGTATCTTGAGTTAACTAGAAAATCTGTAATAAAAAATATAAATTACCAAACTTAAAATTTCAATACACAGAAATTGTTACATACAAATTAAAATTTAATAGTATTTAGTAAAAAGTTTAAAATTTTATTAGGTATGATTTATTGATATCTTATTTATAATGAATTAGTAGTTTCTTTTCACATATAAAATTATTACAAAATTATCTTTTTATAAACGTATAAACATTTTTTTATTTCGATATCCAATCATTGCCAACTATAGTGTTTAATTCTAAATGAAAACAAAAATAATTGAAACAAATTTTTGAAGTCTATAAATGCGGTAAAATTTAGGTTTAATAATATGTACAATAAGGATATGTACAGTAGTATGTATAAGATATTTATTCTAATACAAAATAATTTTTTTTACTAATTATAAACATAACATCATTATGTACCTATACTATGAAAATGTAGTAAGTTGTCAGGTTCAAAATCGTTTATCAAATATCCTTTTAAATTTATAATACAATTATAACATTATTATGTGTTGATATAAGTGATATGAAATAATATTTTCCTAAACCCTATATTATATCCTGTAACCATACGGTATATAACATTATAAGACATAAATTAGAAAATATATATTTAATACTATGTACCATGATTTATTTATTATTCAATAAAAACCTTACCTAAAAAGGGCAGGTTTTTTCTTTGAAACTGGCTAAAAAATAAGCAAAAAAACAGAAATGCTAATAAAGAACTATAAATTAATTGGGAAGATAAGTATCTGGAGCACACCAAGTACCCAAAGTACCTGGGGGTGACGCTGAATAGATCACTAACTTAAAACACTGTAAGAACACCCGAGCCAAAGTCAATACCAGGAACAACATACTACGGAAACTTATCAACTCCAAATGGGGTGCAGATTCAAATACCCTGAGAATTTCTGYAATAGCAATAAGCTACTTAGCTGCCGAATATGCATGCCCAGTTTGGAAATCATCAGCACATGCGAAAATATCGATATAGCTCTCAACGAGTCTTGCTGGATTATAACAGGATGCTTCAGACCAACATAGGTACATAAACTTCATACCCTAAGTGACATAGCTACTCCAGACATACGTAGAACAACGATAACTGAAACTGAAAGATACAAATGTAATCAAGACCCAAAGCACTCCTTACACGGTTATGCAGCTTCGGCAAAACGACTCAAATCAAGACAGAGTTTCATGCACAATAGAAAAGGAGATTTCCTAATTACGCAACAAGAAAGACAAAATATGTGGAAAGAAAGAAACATAACAAGATTCAACGAACCTATTTGGTCACGTGCGATAGAAAGCCTACCACCAGGACAAAATCTAAAATACGAGACATGGAAAACACTCAACCGGCTGAGAGCAGGGGTAGCCAGAACCAAGAAAAACCTAGCAAAATGGAAAAAAGAAGATAGTGGCCTCTGTGAATGTGGTAGTATACAGGACGAAAAACATGTATTGGAATGCCCAATGATGGAGACCCAATGTAAGTGGATGGACCTTTTTTCTAAACTAAATTACGTGTTCATAAAAGTGATCAATTACTAGACAGGAAGAGGAATTTAAGCTGACTGACACGAGACAAACAAACAATAAATGTAGGATAATGTAAGGATAATGTAGCATAATATAAATAGCATAAATTAATATGTATGTAGTTAATAAAATTATTTGGTTAATTAGGACAGTCGGATAATAGGAACAAATATGTCACCACCCATTGTACCCCAATTTAGTGGATTTTACTGTATATTTTAGATACATATCCCTCCCACMAAAGATCAAAATAATTATGCCACAATATGGTCGTCGTCATTCTTGGGTTTAATCACAATAACAAGCAATATCCAAACAATTTAGTTTTTCTCTTTGAAATTTAAGATACATCTTAATGTATCAAATTTCACAGATCTACCTATTCCATACTCCCTTACGCTTAGAGAAATGTATCTTATCTTTAGTATTAGAAAAATAAAATTTTATATAAAATAAATATTTTTAATTAAACATAGTAAAAGTAGGTAAATTATAATTAAGTTAAAATAGAACATGGTGCATACAAATCTTAAATTTAAACATGGCATGTTGCCTCAGACTAATCATATTATTATTATAAATACTATATAGATATTTATAAACAAGTTTAAATAAATTAATATATTACTTTTTTGTTGTGGTAAACTGACTCTTGAAAAATTATTTATCATCAAACAGTTTTATGCAAATATTTATTTAATAAAATAATTTACTACATGGAATTTTAATTATAGGTACCTTATAAAAGGTGTCAATCTTTTTTATAATACTTAAACACATAAATTATTGACTTTAAATGTATTGTACTATTAAATTCTGAATGGTTTTTGTAAACATTAATATAACTATGCAATTTTTATTATTTTAATGAGTCCTTATCATTTTTAAATGGCTCACAAACAATATTCAACATCGTTTTTCAAGTATGATGAATTATGATTCACAAAATACAAATGCATTATTATACTCGTACATTATATTTACCCTGCGATCTATCTGTTCAACCACTCAGTATAGCGTCATAGCTCACTTTAGTTTTTGATCCAAAGTTAAATTATACGAAAACTAAATAAAATTTTGCCAATTASATGTAATAGCTCTTAGACATAATCTTTGCAACAATATTGTTATATACATACTCATGTTACAGGCACGGGTATCTTGATTTAACATGACAATAATTATTGTCAATTGACAACAAAATTACAATTTTAATTTATTTATGTATTACAATTGAAAAGTTATCTGTGATAGAATTAAAATAATTAGAAGCTAGCAAGAAGGCATTTGTCAGTCTCAATTAAACAAAATGCGCAATTTCTTCCAGTGTCATTCTCAATTTAAAATATGATAATTCACAAAAATAAAAATAAATGTCTCTTATTTTTAGCGTAACTGGACGATGAGGCAAAAAGTGGTTTTCTGCTAGGGGCGCTATTGGTTCTTGCTACGACCCTGGTTAGTTGCGTGTCCAGTGTAAAATTAAAATATGATGAAATTAAAGGAACACTTATCTTTCTTTATATTTATATAAAAGCATTTATTACAAAAAGTGAAAAATAATTAATACATTTATCTTTTAAGCGCTTTTAAACTACCATTTAAAATACTTTTATTTAGTATCCATTTAATAGACTGTATTTAATTAAGACTTACGTTTCTTCATCACTATCATTATTGCTGACTTGATTATTTTGTAAGACAGCTGGATCTGCAATATCATTACATTCTTCAGAATGGTCAGGAGTACTTTTCACCAATTCTTTAAGAAAATCAAGACGGCTATCAGAATGAATACATTGTTTTCTAAAACAAAATATATATAATATAAAATACAGCTGATAAGTAAACAACGACATTTAGAATACTTACAAATGGGCTAGAGTAAGAGTCCTTGCACTTTTTTGTATTGTGACATCACCAGCTTTCACTAAAAGAGATGAAACAAACAGTTCCAATGCCCGAGGTGTACTTATCATTAAGGAGTTTTATGATTTAATTTATAAACATAATGTAACAACATAGTTTTGACAAACAATATATCTAACTCTTAAGGTTCAAAGAAAATAAGGATAAAAATATAAATTCAACTCAGTTACAAAAAGTTGATTATTTTTTTCAACCATCAACTGGATCATACTTAAACATGTAGTAATTGTGCAACTTTAAATTTATAATATAATGACACGTAGCCAGATTTTATGTACATACAATATACATCTTATTTGATGTTTTATTATTATTTTTTTTTWAATACACACCAGTATATTTTTGTCCAATTTGTGTCAGCTAAATGAGGAGTGTAGAACCATATTGATCCAACCAACAAAAAAATCAATTGTGTCTTATTTGAAAATATGTTACAGAATTATACTTAATTATTGTGTCAAACTGAAAAATTATTCACAAGAAACCAGCACATTATTAATTTTTTCATGGACATTTTAATGATTCACTTTGGGGCAAAAATGGCCCAACCCAATGAGAAATGATTAGGCCATTCTGTTTTCTAAATTTAACTCAGAGGTTGTGGAATAGATTATTAGATTTTCTGATAGTGCTGGCTGATTATAATATTGCTATTAATAAAGTTGTTTTATACATTAAGACTTAAATAATAAAAATAAAAATAACAGTTTTAATCTTGTATAAAAGATTTCTACAATTATATATTTATTATAATATTTTATATATGTTATTATAATATTAATGATCACCACTATAAACCAATAATAAATTAACGGTTAGGTTTGTTAGGTTCTTTAAGAAATTCCCTAGCTACAGATCAAATTATTTTAGAATGAAAAATTTAAATAGTAAATATTTAGGCATTGGGAAAGCGTGTGATCTACCAGGTCTGCCGTGATCTACTATTAATTAAGAAAATATTAAGAAAAATGCATAAGACTAATGAAAATCTACTACCATGCCATTTAATTAAATGTTGGTATCGCTCAAAAAAAGAATCGAAATTATTTATTCATACATTTTTTGGAAGATGCAAAAAAGTTTATGTTTCATAAAATGTTGACTAATACTAATTGTATCATTTGTTTTGTAGACACAAAAAAACATTAATGTATTAAGTAGCTATTTTTTTAATTGAATTACATTATTTTTACATAATATTACATATTTATTCATAATTTTTTAGGTATTTAACGAGTTATTTACTGCTTTCTCGGTAGATCACACACTAAACCTTAAAATGCACAGTAGATCATACGCTTTACCAATGCCAATATTTATCCCTAAATTTAAATTTGAAATCATTTATAGATGATATAAATATTATGTATATAATGGCATATACATATATATTTATTATACATTTTCATGTCCCAATATTAAATAGTAGCAAAAAGTGTGATTTTTTTTATATGAAACTTAAATTTTTGACTTATAAATGATGATGATGATGAAAAATTGAATTGAAATGAAATTCTTTGAAAATAAAAAACAGTAACATCAAAACTAAACAATTACATTACATGTATGCATTTGATTTAATGAAGATGTTAGCAACTCCTATTATTTCTACTGAAATGTTGTTATTAAGAAAGACAGTTAAGGGCTAATTTTCTTAGATTTCATGATCTAATAATGCAACTATGTATGTTTGGGACAAATAATTAAATTCCAGAAGTCCTTGACGCTATGACGGACGTCGTATCTCATGTTTTGACTCCATCTTATACACGAACAACATAATAAATTTCCGTGTGCTAGTTTCAATAGGGTGCTATCAGTGTTGATTTTAGTATGAATTGATCTAGTATATAACTTTTAGGTAAGAAATATATCTGGTTGTCTCAAACTGTTTTTTACGATATTTTAATTTTTAAATAAGTTATGAGTATGTATAATAATGTCCTCTTAATTATAATAGTTTTCTATGAAAGAAGGTAATAACTATTCTTTATGAGATAATATGTACTAGTTATGATGTACGGGTGATACCCTTTACGTATGTTTTAGTAATAAATAAATGTTAAAATTAATAAAATGTTGACCCATAGTCTAGTCTGATTGTTTGATTGAATATTATGTAGATATTTTGGGATTATTTATCGTTGATCGAAATCGAGGAAAAAATCTAAAATAATCTCTAAACCAAAATCCAATAACATCAGTCATCCACCATGTCAACAATTGTAATTTGTCACTGGACCAAGACATGATGTGATGACACACTAATATGAAAATGACGAAATTTGATATAACTGATATAAAACCAGATGGTGCACTCCCTATTCGGCCCATGTAATTCTCAAAAATGCGAAAAATCAAAACCTACCTCAAATCAGTGTCATCATGGATAGGGAAAATAGGGCTTTATAAGAAATTATTGTTTATTAACTACGCATCACTGACTTTTTTGACACTGTTCAGCCGTTGTACGATATTTCGTACTTCGTACCGAATTACTATTATTGTTTTGCTGGTCATTACTCAACGTACGCGGTACTTCGGGCTTCTTACGGAATCTGATTTTAATCTTCTCTACCTATAATTTTTTTTATTTATTTATCTTTTTAGTATTTAATTTGTGAAGAACATTATAATAAATGAGCACAAAAGCATAAATGAAACACTCCTGCCACATACCAAAATTTGTTTTTAATTTTAAAATAATGTATTTCCTCCTTGTCTTTGTGATGTCACACAGTAAAATATTTTTAAATTGTGTAACAGTCACTATTTCCTGAAGTGTAAATAATAATATCTAAAAAGAGAAAATAAATTTAATATTCTGGAATAATATACACAAAAAAGTATTTTAAATATTTAAAAAACACTTCTCAAAAAATGTTTGTGTGCTTAACATGATTATCTGTTAAAAATTCAAAAAAGATACAAGTAGGTTTGATAAACATAAGCTCGAAGATTACAACAGACTAATCCATATATTGGATTAAACCTACACAAAATTTTAGATGAATTTTGGAATTCCATTAGCATTGAGCCATTGACGCTCAAAGTACACATATKRTGTATTAAATATTATTTGATACAATAATTAAAAATTATGGTAAAAGTTGTTGTACATTTTTAACAATTTGTGCAATTTAATTATCTTATGTGGCTCTACTGATTTGAGGTAGGTTCGTGTTATCAGTAAATCGAAGAAGTGCACCATCTGGTTTTATATAATCTGTGATAGAAGCGGCACGTCTCTGCTTGGTGGTCGATCTATGGTGGTTTAGTGTTGAAGTTGTAAATGATTACTTGGAGGTTTAGGAGTGTTGTTATGAACGATTTTTTTTTTACAATAAACGGTTTGTTGTTTGTTTGTTTACGTTTTTATCCTATAAGTTATAACATTATAACCTAACCTTCACTGCTTGCGGCTATCTAACGACAACTATGAATTAACAACTGCTTTGCATTACACGTGCAATAATTATTTTAATTTTAATTATTGTTAGTTATCCTAATTATAAATTATAATCTAATTTATTATCATTTCTATGATATCATAATGGTATCAAGCAAGGTGGATATATATATATCCACCTTGGTATCAAGTATCAGTTATTGAAATATATGATATGAGCCATCAGCTGATACTCAAAAATAACAAAATGGCAGTGCCCGAGAGTTCAAGGCCATGTCCCCACTTTTTTCAAATAGCATTAGGAATTGTGAGAGTGTCATACATAGATAATACATAATGGATAAGGAGCGTCTAAACACAGAACTGAACCGTGACCTTTTTGCGCATGCGCGAGTACCATATCAAGAATTGGAATCTCTTATCATTTTATCAATATCATAGAATTAATATTCATTAAAACTTTAAAACTTAATTACTTTTTTAATATGAATTATGAATATGTTTACGAATAAATTTAATCATTATAAAAACTTTTTTGATAAGAAAGTACAAGTTAATAATTACATTATTGAGTGCCAGATAAACAATACTTATGGATATGTAATATGATGTAGTTTTTATATTATTTTATTTTGTATTCATAATAATATGATAAATGATTAAAGTAAACWAAAGTAAATAATTGATGTTTAGATAATGGAACTAATTTTTGATTTAATTTTTTTTTTAATCATTATATATTTTTAGTTTAATTACATACAAAATTGTTTTTAATGCAGTAGTAAAATGTTTAAAGTAAAGAACATAATAAAATATTATATTTATTAACTTACTTTGTATTTTTTTAACCTTTCATTTCCTTTCTAGATATCTATAAAAATAATTAGCCATTATAGAAATTGTGGAAATTGATATTGTAAATTAATATTGCTTGTTTTCAATTCTCATAACATCATGGTAATCCTAAACATATTATTACATACAATATTTTTATTGGATCTTGTATTTATTTTATATTATGTACAATAATAAAATTTTCCTAATAAAAGTTGTAAAAATAGCTCTTCATAATTACGCGAAAGATACAATCACAATGGTAGGCAAATTTGATAAAGTGTACAAAAAACGAGTTTCCACTAATTTTAACTTTAATTTCAAAATGTCAATTATTTGTGATATATGCAAAGTAGAATTTGCAACTAAGTCTCCATTGACAAGACATCTTTTAAATAAACTCAATGTTAGTAGTGAAGCTAAAAAAAAATGCTATCTAAATGTATCACCTGTAATGACAAAACTTTAAAAAAAAAAATAACGATCCACCTAATAAAAAATAACCACACAAAAAACTTTTTTTCGACAAAATTGAAACAAAAAAAACCCATTTTAAATAAAAAATTWAAAATCTTACAGGAGAAAGATGTAGAACATTCATATTTAAAAAAAACAATAGTTAAAATTATTTTATACCTACTTTCCAAAAATTACTTTTATATATTTTAATTGATGAAGTTTAAAGACTGATTACTGTTATTTAATTATTTTTTTGTGAATTACACTATTTTAATGATAATGTTTTTATTAATTTTCATTATATACTATTTGACTATTTATATTAACTTTATTAT